TGAGAGGGATTGCTGGGGTGGGAATTGTGGGGAATGGGGGTGAAAAAATGCGACATTCTGGGATTGGGAGGGTGTGAGGGATGATGCAATTCTGAGTGTGACATTCGGAAAACGCTGATCGAGCAGGGGATGGGGGTGGAAGTGGGTCGTTCTTGGCACCGGCAATCGGAGAATGTTCGATTGGGAGGGAGTCTCGATTTTGATTCTTTGGGGTCGTTTCGTCGTGGTTCTGTATATTTATTCCATATTATCTTCGTCTATATTGTTTTCTTAAAGAAAAAATAATCATCTTGTTCCTGGCTTGAATATAAATTAGTCCTTTTGGATTTAATTATATGATAATGTGTAATGATTACTTCCAAAGATCAGCAATTATAATACTCCACTGATGGTAATTTTATAATATAGATTCAATCACGCTTTAAATTTACATTATACCTGAAACTGAACTTTATTAATTTAAGTTATTATCTCAATATCTTATATTTTTTATCATAGCAATATTATATATTACAATTTTCTCTCGATCAACTCTTATTATAAATGTTTTCTATTGAAATTTTATCGAATATTTCTATGAAACAAAAAAAATATATTTTAAAAGATCACCGAATAAAAAAAAAGGAAAATTAATTAATCACGACACAGTAAAGTTTCCCGCGATATTTTTTCTTCTACAAAATTTTTCTACAATTCGAAACTCATACACGATTCCATCTCGGTCCCATCAATAATTCACGACTACCCACCCACAATACCCGAACCTTTCGCCCTATATTCTCCGAATACATCGAATCTCCTATAATTCCCAAAAAGTGCCTCATATTCCCCGAATAATATTCCTCTTCTGGTAACATACCCCATCGAACGTCTCTTCTTCTTCTTCTTCTTCTTCTTCTTCTTTTTTATCGAAAGTCGCGCAGTCGACGAATTGGAATCAGTCATGAGAGAGATTCGACGCGAGAGATCTAGGCGCCTGCCCCTGAGATAAGAAATAAACTTTTCCCTTCGTTCGAGGAGATGCGCTCGGTGCAGACGCCCCTCCGCCGGATAGAAGTGTCTAGACGTCTGACCAAATACGCGCGTTTCTCCTGCCAAGAGTCGAAACCGGCAGCCAGGCGGACACAGTGATGAGCCGCTTAAAAGATAATTCGAGCTAGTTTGATGAACCGCACACATTTTTTTCCTCTATTTGGAGAAAGCTTGGCCAACGTGGATGTTTGTTGATTACAGTTTGGCTTCTTCGCACTTGGAATGTCCAATTTTTTGGCAGTGTGCATTGGCTGCTTCTGCACGTGGAATTTCAACTCTGTTAATTTTGTGTGATATAAAAAAAATAAGA